TTGGATTGCCTATAGGGCATGGGGTTAGACGGATATGCAGTTAGGCAGATATGCGGTTATCAGGCATATGTTTTATGGTGTGCAGTGCAGAGGTAGAAGGTAGTGTTTTTTGTTCCTTTCACATCCTATGCCGGTTGGCATAGATATGGGTCTTTTTGGTGGTTTTGTGTGTTTCTTTCACACCCTATGCCATTAGGCATATAGTAGTTTGGTTTAGGATCGTTCTAGATTGCCAGAGGTTGCGGAGGATCATGACGAGTTAGGATAGTGTGTTTTCATTTGAGTTCAGTGTGTTTCCATGGTTGTTTGTGCTTTGGAGCTATATATCTCTTAGTCAGTCCTTAGCTAGATGGATCATCGATCACCGTTTCCACCACTTTTATCTTCCCATTTTTTCATCTCTCATCCGCACTCATTTTTTCACTTCACCGCTGTGCATTTTTGAGTTGCTTCTTCAAGTGACGGCAAGGAGCTTTTTATCGGGTCACGTGAGAAAGCATAATAACACACTATCTCCTATTGCCAAAGGCGAAAAGAAAAGAGATAAGTTGGAATGGCAAAAGGAGAGGAAAAGTAAAAATGCCCTAACACTTTCCTTTGTAAGTTACTTCACTTCTGAAAGTTCAACTGCTGGCTAGGCCACTCATGCCCCCCCCCCCTCCCTCTCGTTCGTCATCCACCGTAGTCCTGCACGGTCTGCGGTTATTTACCAACATAGGTTCCTACAGTCTGCAGTCTCCCCTGCCGGTTGAAAACCTCCCCCGGTCACCTCTGATCTACCCCATTCCAATCGGTGGCTGATAAGAGTGGGATGAGGACTGCCGAAAGGGAAGAGAATAAACCGGGGGTGTTTTTTTTTATTCAAGGGTGTTCTGGTACCCTTTTTGGCTTGCTATCCATCTATCGGGCGCAATGGCGGTTTATATGAAAGAGTATCTCTCACGCACCACAAAGACAAGAGTTTCTCCCTGACTGCTTTTCTTCCCGCTATCCGTCCTGCTCCTTTCTGCCTATATGCCCCGGTCGGCGATGCTAGGGCAATATAATTGGATTGGACTCCCTCTTGACAAAGTATCTCTTTCACATGACTATCACAGTAGCGATATGAGATGAAGGCAGCGATATCAGTCGTTTTAAGTTTGTATTCTAAGCTTCGTCAAAGAACTCTAAACTAAAAGAAATCTCACCCGTATTTATGGTCGAACGCTAGACCGGCTTAAAACAGATAATACACCCATGCTATCCCCGAAACAGTAAATTAGGAAAGGAAAAAGAAAAACTAATCAACGCCATATGACCATATTTCAACAGCTGTCCAACTCGCTCTAGTGCTATCAAACCCCGAACAATTAAGTCCCCAGTAGGCAAAATTCCCTTGCGTCCCTCTACCTGCAGAGATCTGAGACCCGGGAAAGACTTTTGAACGAGCGGTGGAACGGCGGTCGCAACGGCGGTAGCAACGGCGAACGAACAGGGATCGTGGCAATGGGCCAATCGGAAGCCAGCCGAGTGACGAGCTATGAAACGAAACGCCAAGCTTAAGCACGCAAAAAGGGATCGCACAAGGCTAAGAAAACTTTTCACTTTCACTCTTTCCTGCTCCCTAACTATCGCATGCTCTTCTAACTAATGGCGAACATAGGAGAATATATCAACCATGGGCAACGCCCGACAAACCTCAGTCTCTCCTCACCCCCCCCCCAAAGGGAAGTCCTCCGCTTCCCTTTCTCAAGCAAACACACAAACTAACAAAGGAAAGACAAACTCGCGCCTCCCCCTCCCACCAGGTGAGCCCCCCATATCCTTCGAGCAAACAAGAAAGAAAAGCTAACAAAGAAAGAGAGACAAACTAACTTGCGCTTCCACTGCCACTGTGCGCTATTCCGCGGTGCTGTCACAAACTGTGACTAAGCAAGACGGATTTTACATAACTCGGAATTCCGAGCTATAGGTATGTTGGAATTTTACATGACACACACTAGTGCACCATAGGTTATTATGTTTAGCTATTCATGACTCACAGTTGTGAGTCACACCATGTTATGATTTTTTGCACCTGACTCAAATTACGAGTCATGGGTTTCACTCCGGTAACGCGAATTGCGCACCTGACTTGGTTATTATGTTTTGATTAATTAGGTACAGCCACTAGACAAAAGTCTTGGTGATGCTGAGTCAGTACTTACTCAGCACAATGATAAAAGACAGCCGCGTAGATATCAACAATGTGATACACGCCAAAATGCCTCCCAAAAAGAATCCAGCTTCGCGTTATAAGCCAAAAACCACACGGCGGGAAATGACAGATGTAGAAAAAGGTATGATAATTGCCTTTTTCCACATCTTTGAAAAGATATCGACAGTTGCCTCCCTCGTTAACCGGCCCTGGTCAACAGTACGCAATTTCCTCGCCCGCGCATGTGACCGAGGTCATATAGCCAATGCACCTCGCTCAGGTAGGCCTGTTATTCTGACCCAGAGAGAGCGCCGAGCCATTGTCTGGGCCACGCAAAATGACTGGGGAATCACACGATTGGAGCTCCGGAATCGGCATGCTCCACATGTATCTATTCAGACAGTTGACTGTGTTCTTCCCGAAGCCAATATCAAAGAATGGCTTGCACAAACCCGGCCCCGCTTGACTGCCACCCATGCCAAAAAAAGATTGGACTGGGCAGTTGCCCGAAAGGATTGGACGGCAGAAGACTTCCGGAACATCCTTTATAGTGATGAGTGCACAGTGCGCAAGTCAGCTAATCCGGCACAGAAATGGGTGTTCCGTACACCAGAGGAGAAGTGGCTTGCCGACTGCATCAAGCCACAGGGAAAAACCAATGAGGTGGGGTTGATGGTATGGGGGTGTTTTTAGGGTGGCCACCGGGGACCGTTGGTGCCCATTTTAGAAAGTAAGGTTGACCGATGGGTTTACATTAGCCTATTGGATAGGCATCTTCCACCGGTCATGGAAGAGATTGATGAAGAACTGGGGGACTCGCTCTTCCAGCAGGATAATGTGCGTGTGCATACTGCACATGACACACGCCAGTGGTTTGCTGACAATGGGATCAACCTGGAGGCTCATCCACCATTGTCACCCGATCTCAATCCCATCAAACATGCATGGGTTGAGCTAAAGCGACGCCTTTATTTGCAGTATCCCGATATCCTGGATACTCGAGGTGGGCCCGATAGAATTCGCCAGCGACTTGCCGAAGTGCTACCAATTGTGTGGGCAACAATTCCGCACTCATTTTTTGAAAAACTCTGGCGCTCGATGCCCTCCCGTGTCTCCGCTGTCATAGATGCTAAAGGCTGGTATACTCGATACTAGTTTTCTGTTGTACTTTTTATTTTCTTTATTTACTTTGTTTATTCTTTATTTAATTTCTAATTATTTATTTTTAATTTTTAATATTTCATCTGATGTTTTTTGCTTTGTTTCCGGGTAGCAATAGTGGGGGGTGGACAGTATTACGCTATTTGGTAGGGCGCGAACTGTCTCACCTCACGTAATCACCAAGACTTTTGTCTAGTGGCTGTACATTGCACAGCGACTCATAGGAGTCAGCTGATGGATTTTGCATGACTCATAGTTATGAGTCATAAGGTTCGTGTGACGCATAAGTATGAGTCATGCTAGGTAAAGAGCTACTATATAAAAGGTCACTAGGACCCCTAGTATTAGCTCTTCACACGTTCTTCTTGTTTATTTCCTACCTTTATGTTTTATCAGAATAAAACCTACCTTTACGCTCTTTAACCTTTATATCACCTTAAGCGAGAAAACTATTCCTCATCCTACGAACAACACATAAGTCCTAAGTGAGGATTTAAGAAGATTGAGAGGAATAGGTGTGATACGATAGAAGTCAAAGGACTTAACTATCAATGTCACATAGGCATAGGCCTAAGAACTATTACCTCACCTCAGTTAAGAATCGTTACCTGTCACTTTACTCAACCGCCGGGCAGGATTCTTAACCAGTGCTCTTCTGCCACACTTTCCTGTGCTCCTTCTTCCACACATTCCCACACTCTCTGTCGCGCTCCGGCGCTCTTCCTGCGGTCCTCCACCGCATACTCTTCCGGCACTCTTCCTGCGGTCCTTCACCACGCGCTCTTCCAGCACTCTTCCTGCGGTCCTCCACCGCACTCCTGCTTCGGTCCTCCGCCGCGCTCCTTCTGCGGTCCTCCGCCGCGCTCCTTCCTGCGGTCTTCCACTACACTCTCGCTTTCGCCTTTCCTCCGCGCTCTCCCGTGCTCCACCGTGCGCTATCTCCCGCGCTATCCCAGTGCTCCGCCACCGTTCTCTATCCCCAGCGCTCCGCTGTGCACTCCCGCAGCGCTCTTCTGAAAAACTAACAAACAAGCAAACAAGGTGAAAAGGTGAAAAGGAAAGAAAGGCGGGACTGGGGGGGATAGGAAATGGGAATGGGGAGAAGGGGGGGGGGAACGGTATGAGGAGGACGGGGAGAAAGGGAAGGGGAAGGTACCGGGCAGGTGTGGGGAGCAGCTTGGATTTCCAACAAAGACCACAACCTCCGAGAAATGCCAGCCAACAACCTTCCACTATTGCACACCCTTCAGGAAACATGAAGAGAGACGGATCATAAAGAGATATTGATAAGATTAAGAGCTTAAAGTCCGGGGACCATAGGACTCCCGAAAATATTCCCATGAGCACCAGTGATCTTCAACACAGCCAAATCTCCTGCGGTGTGATGGGTCACTATGTCGAGCTGTCCCTCTTACAGAAGGCCAGTCTTCGGCGCAAATAACCGACGACACGGCGAGGGAATTGTGGCCGCGTATCTATTGGGTTTCCAGGCAGAGTGTGCCCTGCATGCCGCTCAACTGTCGCTGAATCGCTACCCTCTCGTTGGAGTCGTATGACCGTAGCCAGGTGGTTGGCACTTAGTTGGGTTTCGGGATGGTCGGGTCCAAGGATCTTCCTGCACCCCTCCAATGCGCGTCGGTTAATCGCCTCTGATGCATTGTACTTTCCTTGGGATTTTAGCACAAAGGCTAGGTTGCTGAGACATATTAGGGTGTCCGGGTTGTCTGGTCCAAGAATCTTCTCCCACCCCTCCAGTGCCCGTTGATTCATCGTCTCTGATTCCTCGTACTTTCCTTGGGATTCTAGCACATTAGCCAGGTGGCCCATACTTATTAGGGTGTCCGGGTGTTCTGGTCCAAGAATCTTCTCCGAACCCTCCAGTTCTCGCCGGTGCATCGCCTCTGATTCATCGTACTTTCCTTGGAATTCTAGCACATTGGCTAGGTTGTTGAGACTTGATAGGGTGTCCAGGTGGTCTGGTCCAAGAACCTTTTCGCGCCCCTCCAGTGCACGCCTATTCATTGCCTCTGATTCATCGTGCTTTCCTTGGAATTCTAGCACATTGGCTAGGTTGTTGAGACTCGTTAGGAGGTTCGGATGGTCTGGGCCAAGAATATTCTCGCGCTCCTCTAGTGCATGTCGATTCATCGCCTCTGATTCATCG